GTGACGAGGCCGAGGATCGACCTACCTACCTCCTGCTCCCAGGGCAGACGCTCTATCCACTAGACTACAGGGACGTTCTACAGACTTAAGGTAAGTAAGTATGGTTTTACGCCGCTTTTAGCAATATTCTTGCAATATCACGGCAGGGGACACCAGGAATGGGCTTCAAACATTGTACCCATGTGGGGAATCGAACCTGGGTCTTCGGCGTGATTAGCGAACGCTTTAACCACTAGGCTACCCCACCGCACCTCTACAGGCGTAGAAATCAGATCTGTGACGTGAAAATAAATACTTGCTGATCATACACACATTATATAATGATGTTCCATAAAGTTGCGAGAACACAGTTGCCTGGTCTGTCATACAGAGAGGTTGGAACAAATACGTCAAAAATTCAGCCAATGCAAGTCTAGAATATGTGCTAAGTCTAGATTCCTACGGTTTCAAGTCTGAAAATGGAGAAAGTTCCCGGGCTCCTATTTATTATATCTATTAAAAGTAATGCACGAACTGTTTTCTTCTGTAAATTATGTTCATTTCGGAGACTAGACGTTAGTCTAACCGCGGCCACAATATATATCATCACTTTGGACTAATTCCCCTAAATCAGTTCATTCTCCATGATATGACCTTGAATAGTAGTCGCATTTATTACAAAAAGGGTAAACGAGAAACGGAAAGACATCTTTCAAAAGCAATTTAATTGATTTACAATTTTCCGACCAACATTTGTTTCTTGCAATGGCAATGGCGGCTGTATGGTTGAAGCGTTCACTCGTCACGTCGAAGAGCCGGGTTCAATTCCCCACATGGGGACCGCCTCCGTGGTGTTGTGGTGAGAGCGTCCGCCCGGAGAGCGGAAGGTCGCGGGTTCGATCCCCGACCGCATCATACCAAAATACGTTAAAATATGGTACTTGTTGGTCCCTGCCTGGCGCTCGGCATTAATGGGTACAACAAGGACTGGTCGGCTCGGAGTCAGTATAATGTGTCTGAGAGGGGTATTCATGCTTCACTGCGGCATGGTATCTCAGTGGGCTAGCACTATAAAACCAGCTTAAGTCTGGGCTAGTACAAGCAGCCGCACATACACATACACCCGCATGGACGTCGTCATATGAGCGAAATATTCTCAAGCACGACGTTAAACCCCATTTCACCTCACTTCACCCAACATGGGTACAATGTGCGAAGCCCATTTCTGGTGTCCCCTGCTGTCATATTTCTGGAATATTGCTAAAAGCGGCGTAAAACTAAATACACTCACTCACTATCAGGGCGATGGGGCAGCCTGGCGAAAGCATTCGATTATATACATAATATATATAATTCCCCATGTGGGTACAATGTGTGAAGCCCATTTCTGGTGCCCCTCGGCGTGATATTGCTGGAATATTGCTAAAAGCGGCGTAAAACCCACTCACTCACCTAATGATGACGCTATTTTAACAACGACCAACGCGTAGGTTTCAGTTATGTAATATATTTCACAGCACAAACTTATCAGTTACAAATATCACGGTATTTCTGCATTGAGAAGTTTAGATTATATAACATTCTGAAGTGTTATCTGCCCCTCGGGCAACAAAGGATGACGTCACCTCGCATTGTATCAAACGTTACAACGGTAATTTAATACTTGTCGTTCTTACCAAATAGTACGTTGATCTCATCGAGTGATGTGACAATTAAACTCCCTTCTCTCGTGGCGGTCATTAAAGGCCTATTGCTGGTGCCATAAAGCGTAGGCACGTAAAAATAACAACTTTGTGACGTCATCGATTGAAACAAACATATTTATATATATCATTGCTGTTTTCTTATTGATTTTGACGATCTTAATCTGAAAACAGCAGCGTCGATCAACGGAGATATCGATATCATTTTTTTTCCGAGAAAGATAACAATTATATTTTTTCATGTAAAACAGTTTTTTCTCTAATAAAATAAAATATTGTATTTTCCGTGGTCACATAACATATAAAAAACCCTGAATAACCTTGCTTTTCATTTCGCCGACTAGATTTACAAAAAAATCACTCTTGCTATTAATATGAATTGTGCATAATACTACAACTAAATTCTTTCCATCCAAGTCAATTTAAAACATCCTTCAGATTTGTTTCTTTATTTCATTCTACCCGCCCACAACACAAAACAAAATCCGTAAACGAAACAAAAAGGAAACAAAAAAACCCGTCTGCCTTATTCATCTTAAACAATGTTTGCGAGGTGTTTATTTCATCTGCCGAAAACTATAAAACGCCCGCGCGCACGCACGCACGCAAAACCCGTCTGCCTTATTCATCTTAAACAATGTTTGCGAGGTGTTTATTTCATCTGCCGAAACACAAAACGCCCGCGCGCACGCACCCACGCACACAAACACAAAAAAACAAAACAAAACAAACAAACAAACAAACAAAACAAACTTGTTTTTGAGATAACACTCAACTCCCAGTAGGAGGTCACTGGTTACCTCCCTTGCATCAGAAATCCCTGTCAATGTTCGGATGAGAATTCTAACTTCAGCGGTACATCCGGGGACTAAATCAGCTGTTGCGTTGACTATTGTAAGTAAGGAAGTGTCTTAACTGGGGAATATGTAAACTTGCGTAATAATCAACTGAAATGTGTAGATGCTTAACAATTATAGACTAACAATGTAAAGTTTGAAAACTATATTTATCTCCGAACCTATTGTAATCTATACAAAACTGTTATCTGTATACGGCCGTATACAGATATAAGCGTCATCTCTGTATACTACACAAACTCTCTCGTTGCATTTATTTATGATATTGATTATTTTTTTTCTGATACCTTTGGTACAGGGTACCTAATACGGATATAGTAACAGTCATACATTCATACAAAATGGCGTCATCAGAAACAACTCAACAAAACATTGCTTTAAACATCAACAACATAGAATTAAAACGTATGTAAATAAGACATGGTGATATTTCCAAATGTTTCTGTGATGAATATTGTAAATATTTTGCCAGGGTGCCTCAATGTCTTGATGAATAAGATTTGAAATAAAGGGAGGTAACTCGTGAAAGCTTAGCTCTCCCTTGTGTCTTTACCATTTCGAAAATTGCCATATCAATGATGCATTTGGAAATATGAATTAACGCATTTGAAAGGTTTGGAGTGAAAATTTGTGACAAAAACATTATGTGCAAATGTAATATCGTGTTTTTTAATTGAAAAAGACATGTTAACATTCAGTGGTAAATAACCCATTGTTTGGTATTATTTGGAACTAATTCTGTCTCGGAAGAGTTTTCTCCCTTTGACTGTGGCTTTCCCAGACTCGCTAGGTGTCGCCCTAATTGGTTCCCGTCGAGCGGCACATAGCCGTAGAGGTCAATGACTGGGAGTTTGCGTTCGTTGTGGCCCCGCCAGGTCATTGTGCAAATTCATCACAAAGGGCGGATTTTTTTCTGTGAATTAAAACAAAATCCCCCAATCATTTAAAATTCAAGGAGCCATTGTGAAACAAAGCTCTCTTTGTTCGATCAGCAAGATGCACCTATATTTAAACCAACTGGAATGTCTATTGATATTTTACTGGGTCATACACTTATTTTCACATACTTCATCGTCACTTGCTTGTAATTTTGGGGGGTTTGTCAGTGTAATGAAGTAACAAAATGAGGATATTCCTCGAAAATGACCAACAGCTAGACAGAAAATTCTCTCGGGCGAGATGGTAAATAGGTCATTTCCACACGTGTGTTTGTTTGACAATCCAAGGCCACTGACGTCACGGGCTATATTTAGCAAGCTCCGCCCCTTACTCTATGCTTTCCCAATGGCTGACAATTTCATTGACCCATATTTCGGGGTAAAAACACTGACGCATTTAATAAAACCAGACCACACGAAGTGAATTTCTTCACAGAATATGAACCGTTCGTAAGGAAAACACTCTCTTGCCTATTTGTTTGCTGGAAACGGCCATTCGTTGTGACACACAGCAGAACTGACCCGCTTGAAGGAAGTAAAAAAGTCAAGGTCGAATCCTCGTACGTAATAGCGAGGAGGGCGATTGTACTTTGCATACATATTTCTACGCACGGCTCTCCGAGTACAGCGAGGGGAGGACTCATAAGAGCTTTGTCTGTCGTTGGCTGAACACGGTGTCAGTGCGCGCTGGTTATAAGCTTATCACTGTGAACCACTCTCGGACGTTCGTCTACGGAATTATCGGACCATATTACTATTGGTATGTTGAATTTGATTTTATTGAAATTATTTTTTTATTTTTGTGAAATTTAATTCAATTTATTTAACGTTGATTCTTTGTCCCAGTTAGAGAATTATGACTCAGTTTCGTCGTGTATGCATGTACATGCCACACCCGGTCTTTGTGCGGTTCTTGTAATTTCTTCTCCGTTTCTAGCTGATTCTTTTATGCATAATTCGAGTGAATTTTCACGTTTGGAATATTCAGTTTGTTTAAAAAAAGTTGATATTGAATCTCTCTTTACTTGACTAGTCAAGTCCAAAGTTACAATGTAAGTTTTCATCTTTTAATTAAAAAAAATATTAAAATCTAATATTCAAATTTTCAAAGGATTCAGAAATTTATTGGTTTTTTTATTTTGTAATATAACACCTTTTTCACCTTTATGTGGTCTTTAAAAGTACGGACTGAATATAAATAAGTTCAATGTGTAGTTATTAGGGACGTGGGAATATTAAAATACATATATGTAAAATTTAATTTAAAACCAATTTAAGAAGTATTTATCACACAGGAAAGATAGACATCCATCAACTATTTCTTTCCAGCAACAAGTTAACAAAAGAGCAGGCGAATGTCGTTAAGCGTTAGGGCGAGTCGGAATCATGCACACACGACTGCTGTTGTTGATAGAGGTTGCCAGTCGATTCATACAGTCGTGACGTAATGTGTACTCTCGAGGCTCGTGCGCTTTCGGCCAGTCAGTCAGTGCGAGAGAGGTCGTCCGCTGCCGCTATATATAACCGCCTCTATCAACAACAACAAACAGTCGAAGCATTCCTTTCTCGAGAGCGGACCTACATTGCGAGCGCGCACTGCCTCACTATAGAGATACAGCATACTTAGGTGAATAGAACTTGGATTCTTGTGCTTTGGTATTTCATTGCAACTGGTGTTAGCAATTATTTTTTTTATTTCTCATTTTGATTTTATTTAATTGTTGAATTCTTTTTTTGAATTTGAAATTTATTTTCTGTTTTAAGATCTCGTTTGAATTGTATATTTGTATTAATTTTGATATTTATTTTCAGATCTGATTATAAAACCATGGAGGTTTTATACCAACCGGAGCCACTGTACCCCCATCAGACTTCAATGATTCACCACCAGGGGCATATGCAGAGATTGTATGTGTCTCCCAAAGACATATACACGTGCTACTCTTATGATGCATCACCTTCCCGGACCCCAACCCCAGAACAGCCCGCCAAGTCCTACAGCCCCCCTGTCCCCACCCAAGGGAGGACTCTTCAGTCTGTTCTTATGGGGGAGGTCCCAGCAGCATATTCTCATCTCACAAGCCAAAGGTGCTCCTCAGCTAATGTTATGAGCGAGGGTCAACTCCAGACAGAACCCATGGATCTATCCTGTAAAAGGAGTCCTAACCCTCACACGGACTATTCGTCTGATGATTCTCAAAGCAGTTCACAGGGCGAGTTTTCTCTGCTGAGGAACTTGTTGAGTGTTGGCAAATCTTCCCACGAAGCAGTACCCAGGAATTGTGAATCTCCGTGTGACTATTACTCTCGTCAGCCTGTATCAGGATCCACACGAGTCACACTAGCAAAGAAAAACATGTTCCCAGTGTGTTCTAGAGTGTCTGACTGGCTCCTCAAAGTTGTCAACTTTGCTAAATCTATTCCCGAGTTTCTCAACCTCTCACACAATGACAAAGTTACGCTCATTCTTAATTCCTGGAGTCGTCTGCTTCTTTTGTACATGGCTGAGAGCAACTTCCAGTTCGCCGTCACCCCAATCATCAACATGTCCGATGTGGAACTGGCCGACAGCCCTGCTTCCGATGAACCCACCATGAAAGCAGTTGAGGGAATCCAAACCTTTATCCGGAAGTGCCAACACATGAATGTCGAAGGAAAGGAATATGCTTTCCTCAGAATGCTCGTGCTGTTCAATGCAGGTAGGTTAACGCCCTGTTGTTACATCTGTTTATATTTCCTTGAAGTGTTTCAGAGGGGAAATTTTGTGTAAAGATCGTCCTGTCCTTCCTAGTGACCTGTTATCGCATAATGCGGAGGATGACATTAAATAAGTTTTTTAATCAGAAGTTAAAATTTCCTTGTATGGTTAGAGTTTGACAAACTGGTATCACCTCAGTAATTTACAAGTGTAACATGAGAAATCTGGGGGGGAAAGGGGCTTTCCTGAAGCACTTAACGACAGATGTCCACGCGCTTTAGACAAAGCAAACTGTAGTCTAGTTAGGTGAAAGGCCAAAGCTGTTGACCGGTGACCGCATTAGCTGAGGTTTCCGTTGTGGTCAGTTGGGATGGACAAAGGCGGTAGGGTTCATTGGCCAGGTCTTGCCGCGGACTCAGATGACCGCTGCTCGTGCAAAGGTCACGCGCGAGGTGACCTCTCCGAAGCGGGAAGTGGGTTACGATTCGGTGTTTGTCGGTCAGGCGCGAGCCTCGCCGTCTGCTGATGTTGGGGCTGATCGATCAGTGGAAAGGAGAGTGGATCGCAGCACATTTGAGCTACGGTGGTCGCTAGGTGATCAATAGTCACTTGTTGGGTTCTTAAATGTATTTTTGGCCTGGGCAATGGATTGACTGGGCAAGCCCGGACTCATTAATACCCGCGCAGTATTTTAAGGACGACGCGGTCAATAAGGAGACTATCTGCTGTAAATCTCCCGGAAATGCAAATCCAGTTCGCAGGAATTTTCACTCAGTGAGATTATTAAGCCTATTATGTCGAATAAAAACCTCAGTATTTCCGTCTTTAAAGCCATTTAGCCCATGACCTACATTGTCATCCCTGCAGTCTTCTCTTCCTAGTAAACAAAGGAAGTTTGCTTGCCTGGATGTGTGTTGACTGGTTCTCAGCGGCCAGCTATTTTTGGCAACTCGGCGCAGGGATGTTGACCCGCACGCGCTCCTCCAAAGCTTTCCCCGAACGCCAAAGCGAGAGTAAATATCATGGCAGCTTTAAAACACCAATCCACCAAACGGGCAAATAATCGTTCCGCGGTGAAGTTCGTTTCCTCTTTTTGTTGCATACACTTTGAAATAAAGATGATTCATCATCGAACCAAACCGTTACAGCATCGCGACCGAGACCTGTGGAAGTGGGTCTGATAGGGCTTATTAATAGCCAGCTGGAAGTCTGGTAAAAGTACGGTTTTACGGAGAGTGTCGGAGTACTATTAGTGACGCTTACTAGGTCATGGATGAATTATGAATGAGCTGTGTTTCACACACGAGATAGCATTGATTGTCTGATGCTTATGTATATGGCTGACACACGCGTTCCGATAAACAGAAGGGCTAACGTACCGCGCTACTTAGTGTAGCTCCGTCTTAATAGGTTTAGTATCTCAACGCCTTTCCGTAACGAATATGTTTAGCATCCCAACGCCTTTCCGTAACATAGATCAGGCTTATCGGTAAGAGATAAGATGGGGATTCATATTTATGTACTTATTCTCATTTTTTAAATAATAATGAACGTGCAAATTTATTTTTTAATGTAAAACATTTCTGACCATCTCCTTTTTGTTTGCAGGATATATTGGGCTTGACCGATCTGAGATAGTGGACCAGTTGAATCTGACAGTTCAACAGATGCTGCAGCAGCACGTGCGAGTCACGCGACCTGATGACGTCATGCACTACTCTCGTCTCTTGTTGTGTCTGCCATCTCTCTATGGACAGAATAGCAAAATGATTGAAAATCTTTTTTGCCGTCACATTACGCAAAAAATGGACATGGAAGTTTTACTGAAGGAGATGTTGCAGAACATTTAAAAGGGAGATAAATACTGTGGACTCAAAAGTGATGATGTCATCGTAATTTATACTTCATTATGAGTACATTCCCTGTCACGTGACATTTGGTCACTTGAGAGACTGCTTCGAAAGCAAACTGTCCATCCATTTCATAATTTATTATTTTTCACTCAATTGCAGCATTTTAGGACCACGTGCAATTTCATTTGCATCTCTGATATCATTTACTTGAGCTATTTATAACTGGTTGACAACTGAGAACTACGAGTATCTCACTGGATGAAGATGTATAGGATTCGCCATTCGCATCAACTTGCCATATGTTCGAGAGATCAGCGCGTGCGAGTGGTGAAGCTTTGTGAAACGATGTGAGACATGTCAATTTCATTCTTTATGGGAGAGAATGTAGCGAGCCGATGTGTGTAATTTATTTATATCCAATGTTAGAGCTCTAGATTAGTAATAAGTTTATTATGTGAGTGAATGTGGTGACTGATGTTGCTGAACAAAGTGCTGTACTGCTAAACGCTGATATTTCCTGGTCATTTTTCTATTAGCGGTCTCTCTTGTCTGAGGCAAGTACGTTCAAGACCGGCTTATGTATGTATCACATGACACTTGAAACGTTTATTTCGCCCCAATCCATCTCACCGCAGGAACGGTAGTGACGTCATGCTCACTGTGCTGCGCGCGCATCACCCCCCACGATCCCAAATCATATGCACTCATTTCATGATTTTATGCATACATTTTTCTTATGCAGTGTGACGTATGCCCTGTGTGTGTCTGATGTTAAAGCGTATCTTGTAACAAAACTTATATTTTCATACTCAAAATTCATATTTTGCATAATAAGATGTGACAGTTCCAACGAGTTTGAAAGTTTAAGGATCCTTGCTAAGAGCTACTCCTTTTTGGAAGCCAGTCAAGAATTTCAACTATTTAATAATTTTGCCAACTATACCACGAGGGTCAGTGAATTGTATTTTGTTGTAAATGGAGTTTAACAAGGTTACGCTCTTGGTCCGTATGATTTAATGTAAGATGCGTGAATGTAAAGAGTGATGACTGCTATGGTGGTATGTTTGACTCGGTAGTTCAGCATATACATGTATTTACTTTAGTTGTGAATGTAGACTTAATTTATTAAAAAATAAATTATTTTTGAAGAGACAAAATGTGTTTGTTTTGAGAATGTTCGTGAGGTGACAAATACATTTGGAATCCGCATGGGCGAATTCGGTCACAGAAAAGATGGGGATATTTCGTTCAGTTACCCAGGATCTGTTCTTACTATCAGGGTTGATGGGGTAGCCCAATGGTTAAAGCGTTCGCTCGTCACGCCGAAGACCCGGGTTCGATTCCCAACATGGGTACAATGGGTGTCCCCCGACGTGATATTGCTGGAATATTGCTAAAAGCGGCGTAAAGCCTAACTCACTCACTATTTCTATCAGGATCCACCTAACTGAGGGTTAATACTTATACCGGTTAAATCTTTACCTACTCGAAGCCAGTGAGAGGATGTCGTTCTGAGTACATGAACTCTGTATATGACTGGCTCAAGCTGAGCAGGAGCCTCCTGGTTTACATCCTTAACAGGACTTAGTCTAGATGCTGATTCACACACGAGACTAACGTTTACAGTCCGTTTGAGTCAAAATGGACCGATGAATTGCAAATGTTATCATTGTACAAACTTGCCACATAAATATAAATAGTACACATGTTTATCATTTACTAATACCTAACAGCTTTCTTATATTTGAAAATTTTCTGGACTCCACCAAAAAGGTTCTTTAAGAAACTATCATTAAAATTTTGACACAGTTCACTACTTGTTACGAGGGAGGAGTGCAGAGAAAGGGACAGCCAGGTGTGCGAGAAAGGATGGAGACGGCACAGCACAGGCTAATGAATCAATAACTTGGTGGGCACTTGTGCACGTGCTTCTCTAACACCTGGCTGTCCCTTTCTCTGGTCCGACAAATCAGAGGCTAACCACACATTGTTCGATTCTCCTCTGGAATCCGCTTAAGAAACCAGAGCCAATATCTGTCCCTTCCACCCAGCCCGTTCTGTAATTCTACTTAAGCAAGTCTAGCTTTAACCCTTTAAAGCTCCCATCTCAGTGGGATGTGTCTTTCTCTCGAAATTATTTGTTTTCAGAGACTAAGAGTCAGTCTATGTCAGGCACGGTTTACCCACTTCTCCTGAAGCTCACATATTGTAGTCCACCTCATGGAGATAGTCATCGAGTAAGGCCGGAAGGCTGGAAGACTTACATTAACACGTGATCTCAGTACACCACAACTGAAAATCCTTTCGACAAAACCCAAGAGTAAAACTTGAAGAGAATTACACCACATAACACAGTCAATGCTAATGAATATTGTAGTGCCTCATTCCACTTAGCCGACACCCAAACCGATTAAAAAGTGCCCACTCCTTGACTCCTCAGCCATTGCAGCATTGTACGCCGTAGACTTAATTTACGTAACTCGATCTTCTAGAGTTCGCTGTTGAAAATGGGCTTCACCCAATGTACCCATGTGGAGAATCGAACCCGGGTCTCTGGCGTGACGAGCGAACGCTTTAACCGCTGAGCTACCATACCGCCCGTGTCGCGGGAAGAATATCGTTATCAAATTTGATCTCAACGATAGTTTTTGGAAACATCTGTCACACCGATATGCCTAGTCTGTCTCACAGTCCCTGAACCACATTAATTTCCCTACTGCCAAGCCCTCTCTGCAGTGCTAAAGCCCTAAATAAAGCAAGTCTAGATTTCCTCAGGTTCTGAATCTCTGGTCTCCCTAGGGCTCCTTTTCAATATAAATGGGCTTGTTTGTTACTATCAAAATTATATATATTCAGAGACTAAGCGTTAGTCTACGATATGCCGTGAACAGAACGCTCCAGGAAGTAAAATTCATATCATTTCGATCATATACAGTTCGACCTAAGGCACCACCATTCACTGTGTCTCGTTGCGTCCTGAGTCCTGAGTCCTGAGTCAGTATGCTTTTTATATCTTGCATGAAAACATTCCAGCAATATCATGGCGGGAGACACAAGAATAAGTTTCTGAGTCATGGTAATTTTTGATGATCGAATTCAACGGTCGCCTCGATATCCCCATGAAAGTGTACATTGAATTTTAGTTTCATTGTCCACGATTCGTGTCACGTCATATTTCGCTTTATTTTCATTAATGACATGCCATTATTCAAATTTTTTGGTCTAATTATTCAAAGAGCGAGTGCTACCTGTAGATCAGAAACGAATACCCTTTTCGCGAACATTGCTCTTGTGCACCCAATAGAGTGTGTTTGGGTGGGAACCCGTGAAGATCCGGGTTAGAATTGATCTTCAGTAACCCTTGCTTGTCGTAAGAGGCGACTAACGGGACTGGGTGGTCAGGCTCGCTGACTTGGTTGACACATGTCATCGTGTCCCAATTGCGTAGATCGATGCTCATGCTGTTGATCACTGGATTGTCTGGTCCAGACTCGATTATTTACAGACCGCCACCATATGGATGGAATATTGCTGAGTGCGGCGTAAAACTACACTCACTCAATCACTCACTCCTTTAGTGTCCCAGGCACATACTGTATGTATTATCGAAATAAGTATCGGTTCAAAAGAAATAATTTAGTGGAGTTCGTAATAACCGTAGTTAACTGTACCTGGGGCGGTGGGGTAGCCCAGTGGTTAAAGCGTTCGCTCGTCACGCCGAAGGCCCGGGTTCGATTCCCCACATGGGTACAACTTGTGAAGCCCATTTCTGGTGTCCCCCGCCGTGATATTGCTGGAATATTGCTAAAAACGGCGCAATACCATACTCGGTCAGTCAGTCAGTTCACTGTACCTGTACATGGAATACCTGTTCACATCGTTGGTCTAAATACATCGAACCACCGACAGATCTCATCTGGAAAAAAAGATTTGTTTAATAATGCATGCCATCAATACAGGGTGAATAATTGCAAAACACAAAAATATCTCCGACACTGCAGACCACTTATAACAGAACTATATATAACATGTCCTTGATCATCTATGGAAACCAAAAGTCTTTTGCATAATACTAGTTGCAAAGCGATTGTGTATAACGAGAAAAAAAGCCCGTACGCGTTGTAGAATCCAATCAAACTACTTGCGTCATCACCGCGCTGGAACACGGCTAACAACGGGCCAGGCTCTCTGTACATGCTTTAATCAATACAGATAGAGGTTTCAACTGACTCATTTTCCAGGGCTTAATCTGACATTTTATGTCGATGACGTCATCAGATCTTTATGGAATATTTCAGGGACTTGACTGAGTGTCGGTGCGAACGGGCCTGCGTACTTTGTAATTAAGTACACCAAACGCTCAGTTCCTTACAACATAGGCAGCTTCTATTTCTGACGCTGATTTCTTTAAAAAGATCCCGGGTGAAGAAAACTGCCGTTTTGGCATTGTGAAAGCGCCTTATACAGACTTTGGTCACGTGGCATTGGAAAGTGTTTTTTTAGAAAAGTATTCCTGATTCCTGAATCGGGATAGGTGTTCATTTATATGTGCTCAGTGATGGAAATAAAATGCGTATCAGTTAAATTAATTAAGGTAGGGTCTAGAGATTATGCAACTTCTATAAGTTAATAGGTTCGAGGGCTATTAGTGGATTTGCCATCGTTTTCGGTACAATGAGTCGAAATAGCTGCAATCACCGCATGATAGAAGTGGACGACGCTAATGATGTACTTATCTTGGGTAGGGTTTTGTCTTAAAGTCGTTACATAGTTTATTTAAGGGACCTCTAAAATATTGTGTTTTATTTTGTCGGGTTCATCAGAATGATGACACTCTCAATATAGACCTGTGTATGTGATAATTTTAGTTGTGTCTTTTTATGGACGACTTATGATAAGAAAACCTTTGCTTTCAAAAGTATATGTGTCTTTGTATATTACATTTTCTGTTTTCTCGAGAACGTCGTTTGTGAGGATTTACTCTATATTATCAGGGGTAATAATGCATCTGGTGTGGTCCGGTCGTTTATGGAGAAACAACAAATCATGTGCAGAGTTGCGTCCCTTGGGCACACCAGGAATCTACAATTCTGGGCTCGAATCCTAGTTCGACTGTATTATGTGTCTAAACCCGCACTCGATGGTTTCATAGTGGTACACATGAGACCTTCAACCGTATGTGCTTGTCCCAGAGTAAACAGACAGAAATATTTAAGCCACCCGGTTCCTGGAAAACTGTTGCTTCGTTGAATTAAACTCACACGGGTTAATAATATAAGTGGGCTTCAGGAACATCGGACATGGCGATCGAAGGCTTTAACCTTTTGGCTAATCTTTCACTGTTAGTCCTAAAACCATAGTGTTTCCTTTTCCGCCCAACACCAGTGAAGATCCGGGTTAGAATTGATCTTCAGCAACCCATGCTTGTCGTAGAGGCGACTAACGGGTTCGGGTGGTCATTCTCGCTGACTTGGTTGGCACATGTTATCGTATCCCAATTGCGTAGATCAGTGTTCATGATGTAGATCACCGTATTGTCAGGTCCAGACTCGAACACATATATATGTGGCGTAAAACTAGACTCTCTCAGCCACTTCCGCCCAACCTTGTATACTCCAATGCAGGAGGTCGAAAACTTGAAAGTCAGAATTCCCCGTGTGGGGCTGAACTTTTAGATTACACATAGATATGAGTGTGTATGTTTGTGTGTGGGGGGTGGGGTTGTTGTTGTTGTTGTCAGAATTCTCAATTTGCGTCACAATTCAGCTTTTCTGAGAAATACACTGTGTCTATGTGATATGAACTTCACAGTATGAGCCGGACTTCTTTGTCATACGCATATGGGCGTCCTCCAGCATAAACATTCCATGCATTGTAGGATGTAAAGTCGCAGCAGGATATCATAGCCCGAGACACGTCATCTTCCACTGCTGAATGAAAACAGTACCAAGGTCAAGAAAGATAACGTTATGACTATTTATTCGATAATTATTCACCCGTTTTAATAATACAAAGGCAATTTACCAAATGCTTCAGAAAACACCCAGAGGGAAAGGGAAAACATGGCGTACGAAGACATGGATGTATTGTTTGATGCCCATTGACGTTATCCGGGCTAAGAACGTTTAACGGTACAGCGTCTTCACATGCATGCTCG